ACGTCGATTCAGCAAAGCATGACATCACATACGTTTTGGGCTCAAGATAACAAGAGTTCATTTAAAATATTTATAGTAAACACTTTATATTTTATTTTTTTAAAGTAAGATCATACTGAATCAACACCAAAAAGGGTGTTAGTTTAGTTAGATATACAAGTAACTGAAAAATAAAATAGGAATGTAAAGTATACTTTGTTTTCTCTAAAAAACAAATGAGAACCTCACCTTGTAATGCTACAGAAGCACCCAGCAAACACACCAGTTAACAAAGCAGCCTCGTCTAAGGCACATATACACAACGTGCTCACAAACTTTCTTTACGTGGCTAAGAGTACTTTCTTGGAGCTTTGTTGTGTTGGCAATAAACACAAACTTGTGCTACGTTCACTGGTCCACTATTAGCATAGTATAAAAAAAAAAAAACCCAGTTTGTATATAATACATTTTGTAGTTAACTATATTATTTGGATCCAGATATGTTAATATAGCTACATAATTTTAAATAAACAAAATGGAACAATGGTTATACTTAAGAGCCCATACCCAAGTCAGTACAATAACACATTTTCTATATAAAAGTAAATCCCTACAATTTTAGAATAACTGTAGAAAATATATATATACTATAAAATTATATTAAATAGCTCATTACTATCTAAATACCTAGAGTATTTGTTCGTTGGAACGACTTAAAATTAGTTAAGCTATGTTACTAGCAATTTTAGCTAGTTAATGCAACTGCCAATGGCTTAGCTGCATTAATAACAACTTAAATACATAATTAATGGGAATTATTTCACAGGAAGTTGAAAGGCAACTATCATTTCTCGTGACATGTTCCCATGGGCCCTGTATTGCAGTTCACAACAGACTGGCTGGAAACTGGCACCAACTTATAACAAGTAAGAATATGTTTACAAGATTTATATTAAATTATAAAATCTATTATTAAATTTTAAGACTCGGTAAAGGGTAGTCCACATGCAAAAATTTGACAGCAAATGTACAAAATGTCTCTCTCTAGATGGACTTAAGAAGATTCAGCTAATGACACCAATATTGTAGGGTCACATTCATCATGCCAGGCTCCTATGATAATATTTAACTACCTGCTGCAAGTACTATTGCTAAATTGAACCTTATCACCTCATAGGGTCAAGGAGCACAAGAGGATTATACATCAACTCACCACTAAGGCAATACTACCCACAATAAGGCTATTGTCAAAGAATACTAATACTCTCCCAAAAATGTGGAAATTAATAATTTATACAAAACTACAAAACCAGCAAACCACTAGCTATTGATGATTACCCACCTAATATGTCACCATCCACCACCAGGTGGCACCCCTGACACATTTTGGGTTCTGGTGAAGTTGACCCCTCACTTTTGACCCTAAGCTGAAAAAGACTGACACAGTGAAGAAGGCAGATACTGGGAGTTACTGTGGACCATTCAGAAAAGGTCGTTTCATTACATTCAACACCATATTTCTGGGAACGCCTCCTCATTAGCTCATCTTAGCTTCCTCCCCTCCCCAAAGGTTCACCATGGGGTCTATGCTAGAAGACATAAGTTTCCTCCAGGACACTGTCTCAAGTATATGACAACACAAAGCAAAAGAATACTTATAATACAGGCAGGGAACTGACCCAAGATAATCAATGACCTAGTTGCATGACATGATGGCAGATTGTAGGGATGAGATAAGCATTCCAGAGTTACACAGTGGTGCTAAGAGCATAGAATAACGGGCAAAGAATGGGCAGCCAGCTCACAGTTCAAAATTGGAGCAGCCCTGGGCCCCGACATGAATTATTTCACGTTCAAGAAAAAGTATGTCAAGGCTGCTTCATGGCAAAGATCATGGGTCCAGGGATACACAATGGGTTAGGTTAGCTTAACTACTCTGTATGACTTGTGACATACAGAAAGCATGGCATAATACTAGCCCGAGGACAGGTGGCTCTATTGGTTCCTGACTTTCTGGTTGCTTAACCTCAGTGAGGTGGCGGAGTGTCACCTACTGTGCCTTAGAGAGGCGGGGCCAGATTCTGGCTCTGGTCCCCGGTAGGCCAAACAGAAATCCAGAGCCGATGCAATCTAGTGGTTGGGAGCCATCTCAGAGAGATGGCTTCAGGGAGTCACCGGGACTCACCCAGAAAATGGTATCTCATTCAACACTGTTTTTTGGGGGAGGCTCCATGGTGGCTCTCTGTTATCTCACCACAAAAAAACAAAGAACACACCAGAAGTGGAGGTGGTCAGAAGCCAGGACAACCTAAAAAAAATCCAGTGAGCAAAGCTGCAAACATCCAATCAATAATGGCCAGAAGGAAACCAACTCGCCAGGCAAACAGAAGGACCCAGCAGAAGAACCAACACAACCAAGCCCAGGACCACAGAAAACAAAACCCCAATCACGGTAACCCTAGAAACAAACATAACCAATGTAAGCCAGTCAACTCAACAATGCCAGAAAAGGAGAAAGACAGTAGCAAAGAAAACTGCACACCAATCAAGTCATACACCCAGAAATCACAACAAACAATTCCTGTAAATTGTATTGCTGGGCACACACTTAGCCTGGTTGATACCTGGTTGATGGGGTTCTGGGAGTTGTTCTACTCCCCAAGCCCGGCCCGAGGCCAGGCTCGACTTGTGAGAGTTTGGTCCACCAGGATGTTGCTTGCAGTGACCCGCAGGCCCACATACCCACCACAGCCCGGTTGGTCCGGTACTCCTTGCAGGAAACAATCTAGTTTCCTCTTAAAGATGTCAATGGTCGTTCCGGTAATATTTCTTATGCTTGCTGGGAGGGTGTTAAACAACCGTGGACTTCTGATGTTTATACAGTGTTTTCTGATTGTGCCTATGGCACCCCTGCTCTTCACTGGTTCTATTATGCATTTTCTTCCATATCATTCACTCCAGTACGTTGTTATTTTACTGTGTAGATTTGGTACTCTACCTATATAGATATCTAGCAAACACCTATTGCAGGCACTAGGGTGGAATCGAAATCCAACAGGCGACAATGCAGAGGCAGAAAGTGACAATAGGCATATATGTAAACCCCACAGCACCAGGAGAATAATTGAGTAACTGCACTGGCTGAGCCAGCAGCTCTGGGTGCTGCCGCCTGGTGGTGGAGAGGTAGAACAAGTTGTAGAGTAACCAAACTAATGAGTATTATTTTTCTGCTTTGGCTTCTTTTGCATTGCTGCTCTCTGTTGTCTCACTACACTTTTCTAGTGGGTATTTTCTCAGAATGATCTTAGTGTTCTATAATACTAGGAACACAGTATGTTCCTAGGCAGAATATACTATGTTCTAGGCAGAGGAAAAAACACCCAACTCCAAAACACAATGGTACCAACCCTTGGGCATCTAAACGACCACCACGTCAAACTCTTAAAACGGAAAAACATACTCATAAAAAGTGATGCTGTCTGGTAAGCCTCTAGAAAAGTGAGGCCAAGAGAGAATGAACACAAAATGTTTAGAAGGTCATAGGTGTCACAGACCCAAAAGGCAGCCAGGCAGAGGATGGCTGATGGGCAATTGGAGGACCAATTAGCACCTTAAACTCCCATGTAGCAAGTGCAGACTCAAGGTCAAAATAAAAGAAGACATGCCGTAGACCCACCGAGTAATTACTAGGCCCTGAAGGAGGCCTGGCAATTACCAACAAGGATTGCCATTGGAGTCAAAAACATCAAAGTATATCCTGAAAACAATTGCAAACTGCAGTATCAAGTATGGAATCAGATGAGGAACCCTTAACCTAGCTGATAATATATACAACAGAAATAAGCCCTGTATGATATCAATCAATCAATCAATGCTTATTCAAAATAGTGTGTGTACAAAGGACATAAGAGTAATGTACAATTGTAGGGACAGGAGTTACACATACTAATAAAGCCACTATTATGCAAAGCATTTCAAGGGACACCGAATACTTGTATCTTCACATAGAGGGGCAGGCGAGCCAGTGAAATGGAAGCATTATGGCAAAACAGATACTGAATCCCCCAATGAGAAAGAGGGAGAGTGAAAGCTGCCACAACATGAAGTATACAGTCACACAACCCAGGCATGTTCTCGGCTGAAATGCAAGGCCTCCCCCAGCACACATGGGAGCTGAAATGCAAGGCCCCCCCAGCACACATAGGAACTGAAATGTAAGGCCCCAGCACACACACCAGCAGGTGAAACATAAGCTAGTCACATGCCCACTAACACAGTCTATAAAGTGCAAAGCATTCAGCTAAGTGCAAAATAAAGGAAATAATAATAATATCCAAGAAAGACTGTAATCTCCATGATCAAGAAGCTCTGCAAGATAGAATTAATCTCATGCACTATGCACTACCCAGCAAATTTTCCGGACATTTGTTGAGATTATTTGGATATATTGAGCTAAACAATGAAGGAAGTTAAACAAATTTTTAAGTAGATATTAGGAAATTTGTTTAGTTTTCATGTTTATTTGAAAAAAATGGAAGATAAACATGTTAATTTTTTTACAGAATGAGGATGATTAAAGATTAATCACACAAGTTAAAATGGTACATGGTTAGATGTCAGTAAATTTACTATTTGATGAAGGTGCAAAAAAGGTGGAAGAGTAAGGCAAGACATGGTGCAGAAATACATGTGAAAATAACATATTGGATGTTGGAGTATGTAATGAAAGAGCTGCACCAAGATAAATTCTAACCAGAGCTGCTATTGATTAGACAACTGAGACAAATAATGAATTTTGTTTTGCTTAGGTTTAATAACTATAAATTTACGAGGAAAATATGATTAAAAATAGAGAGAAAATATCCATGAACACTAATTAAATGCTTATGCAGAACCTAAGATGTACAATGTCACAGGTAGCATAAATAAATAAATATACTGTATAGCACAGAAGTGTTTATAATATTTAGGGAGTATATACTTATTTAAAAATTCATCTTAAAGTTGAAACAGACACTAACCTTCACTTCCTGATGCTACAAAGTCTTGATTATCTCCTCCAAAGCACGAGTGTATCGTGTAGTGACCTTGTGTAAGACCTCTAAATTTACGGACTAAAGTTCTATTGCGTAGATCCCACAAGTGAACTCCCTGATTGGCCACATTAAGTAGGGCATAGTTGCCTGTATTATCAAGAGTGAAGGACATTATGCTGTGGTCTTCCTGAATGCTGAAATGGGAAAGATTTTATGAAAACATTAAAATATGTAATGGCTGAAATGTGAAAACTGTATCTATACATATATGTATAGCTTTACATGTACTCGCCTAGTACTCACCCTGTTGTCTTGCGGGGGTTGAGCTTTCTCTCTCTGGTCCCGCCTCTCAACTGCCAATCAACTGGTGTACAGATTCCTGAGCCTACTGGGTAAACTACTACTACTTATCATCTCTACATTTGAAACTGTATGGAGTCTGCTTACATCACTTCACTACCTAATGCATTCCGTTTGTTAATTACTCTGTTACTGAAAAAGTTCTTTCCAACATCCCTGTAGCTCATTTGGATACTAAGTTTCCACCTGTGCCCCACTTTGTTCCACCCAAGCTTTGTATACCAGCTTTGTATGCTGGTATATTTCCATATTTACCTATATTGCAGTGGGATCAAGCACTTGTCCCCACCCTCCACTAAAGTTTTAAGTTATGTGCATGTATATCTAATGCAACAATCTTGACCTATTAATTATATATTTATAATTACATTAGAGCTATGGTACCCCATCAACTTTACATATTTTATCATAGTTTTTATTATACTTGTATTTCCAAGTAACTTTAGCACATGCTTCCAACTTTTGAAGATCATTGACCCCATCTAAAAATCTGTGAAGTATTTTTCCTTCACTATAATTGTTTCTTGTTTTTATTTAGAAGCTGTGGCTTCTTCTGTATTAGGTTTCATAAATTCTTTCCTTCTGATCAGTCCTCTCATATTTCTTTACAAATTTAAATGTGGGAATCACATATTCTTATTTGTTTTAATTTATGTATATACAACACCTTCAGGCCATCCCTCAGGCTGTGTCTTAGCTCTGGAAGTAATTGAGAATTTCTTGAGAATTTCCTTCAGGTATAGGCACCATACTATTACTGTACACACTAGTTAAGTACAGTATTAACATGCATTTTAAATTTTTAATTTCCCCACCTATGTAAATTGAAGGCATTCAAATTTGGCAACATTTACCGACATAAACTTCATAATTTCTGCGAGGGTTTTCTCGGTAGCTCCCTCCCAAACAATAACACTGGGGCTGCCAAGCCTTGGGGAAATGTACCAGGCCTCTGAAATCCACCCGAGCCTACCGAAAGTCAGAATCATAATCTGGCATTCTGTACACGGTGAATGGAGCCCTTACCAGAAAGTACAAACTCCTTAAAATAAGCAACTATTTATAAGGAAATTAGTTACCTTGAGGAAAACAAGGCAAACAATTGCTGCTATGGGGGGGGGACCAGATGCTGAGTGCACCACACCAACAGGGAAAAAGGAGGAGCAGCAAATTTAGACCAGGTAAAATTCACCAACTCTTACAAATCCAGATACCTAATCAACCAAGGGCCAACTCTAGGACATCCTAAATAAGTATCATACTGCAAACCATGAAAGTAGGAAAATGATAATGCAAAGTGGCGGCTGCTTTGCAGTTATAGAAATGCAAAACTTTTCTGCCCGAGACAGAAAAGTCTCTTGTTTCAGCAAGACTGCCAAGACAGTCCACTTTTAGTACAAAAACCATAACAGCATTTAAAAGCAACTAATTCATGGGTCTGGACTTGCTAATGCTTAACGAGTGAGACAGGAAGGCATTTCTTTTTCATTTTGCTGCACATTTATATACTAGCTAGTTTTTATGACGAAATTGGTGGGAATATTGCTTAACACAAGGGAAATAGCTTAAATACATCTTCAGTATCTTCCACAGCTGATAGGTAAACAACTGCAGAACACCATAAATGGAAGTCAGTATTTAAACACTGCTGGAATATCAACCAGTAATAAACCCTGCTAAAAATAAAAATGTCTACATTTCAAATGACAAACTTAATTAAGGTGTTGTCCAGAATAATGCTTTGGATTTATATTACTATACTATTAATTGAGAGCACTAAATTTTGTTAACATAGCAGAATGTCCATGTAAAACATTTATGTCTAAGATTTTACTGCATATTGCATGGTTTTTAATTATGTGAATGTTGAATCTGAATCTCAGGAGTCAAGAATTCTTTCAATATTCACTTCAAATCAAACCCATACACTTCATAATGCCAGTACAGTATACATATGATGTCCTTCCCCCACGGAGTCCCCCCCACGTGTGATGGGGGGAAATCCGAGCAATTCACAAATCATTTTCCAGCTTAAGATTATTAATAAAGTAAAATTAAACAAATTATTAAATACAGTACAGTACATAAACTTTGCAAAATCTTAATATTATAATAATAATAATAGTAATAATAATAGTTAGTAATATTACATAAATTTAATATTTCTGGGGTAGCTTTTCCTCCCCATCCAGTGGCTTCCCAGAGCTTATGCACTGGTAATCAAGGTTCAATGCCATACTCCCACCATCAGTTAGCAGCATAAGTCAACCAAGGCCCAGCAACTCTCCGTCGTTTGGTGTGTTCACTATTTCACCCAATGTCTCCTGAAACTGGACTCCTTGAGAAATGTGTTTGGCTTTTCTGCTTGATTTAATGCCCACATAATAGATTTCATGTTTTATATGCTCGAACGAGCATGTTTTCAGGTCACCTTGTGTGTCTCGGTCTTTAGCTCGCTACAGTTGTCATTCATGGTTATTTTCCTAATTATTAGACAGCTGCACATTCTCAGATCTCGGCCATATACTATCAGCACCATAGACTCTAGGCTGTTGTTTTTGTAGTCATGTGCTTCTAATCATGTGCTTGTTTTAGATGCAGAAATGGCATCTTGGGTTTTTGAGCCCTTGTACCAAGGTCATTTCTTCTCTTGAGACTGTTGCTGATGCCATAGGTGACCCAGGTTCTCAGCAGGTTACTGAACAGTTAACCTTTAGTCCTCAATCATTGTTGTTGGCCCTATTACTATCTCTAGCCCTCTTCTATTTCTGGTGGATAAGGGCCTTTTTCAGTCCCCTCAAAGTGGATGGTCTTCCTCTCTAACTCAGGCTTTGGGGTCTGGTTTAGAGTAGGGTTCAGAACCTGTCAGATGATGGGTTTAGGGCTTCGAAGATGTTGAAGTGTCGCCTTGGAAACCATTTAACTAAGCTTAGAGGCAAGTTCTCAAGTTGGAGAGCATTTGTCTTAAGGTGGAAGGTACTGTACTTTGCATTTGCCCATTCATGTCCAGAAAAATTCCCATTCAGATCCTTCTATGGTGCCTTTCCAAACGTAATGTTCCCTTCAGAATAACCCGTCTTTATAAGGAAGTCATTAGTTTGAACTTTATGCTCTCTGTTGATGTATGGTTTATCCTTCTTTGTCAAAAATGAGTCAGTGTTTCATTGGAAATCTGTTAGTCACTGAGGCTTGGTTCCTCATGTGAGGCACTGTGGGAAGGAAATGCTTGGGAGCCACAGAGCAGGCCACCCCCAAAAATAGTGTAGAGTATAATAAAGTTTCTCGCAGTTGTACAACTTTTTCTGCCATTTTACATTGCATTACTGTGTTTTTTTGCTTTACCTTGAATGTGTGTATTTAGGATGTCATCTACACGAGGTTTTGAGCTTTTGTGACCCATGTTGATATTTTAGCAGGGCTATCCTTTAATGCGAGGTAGTTTTATAACAGCCACTGCTCATTCATCTCTATGAGGAGGCAGGACTGTGGTCCCCTGCTTCCAGTAGACCACGCGATAGTCACATGCCTGAAGAGATGGTACGGGTACCTGGAGTGCAAGTGCATAAATTCTGGGAACCCCCAGAAAAAAAAAACATTTTATTATCGTCAAAGTTTAATTATTACCAGTAATATTTTGATAATAAACTTAATCTCTAATAAATACTGTAACCTCAAATTATTATTATTACTGTACTGTACTTACATATTATGGTCTTGCACCTCATCAAAGTGGTACCCTCTAATGCGATGATGTGTATCAGATGCAAGAACTGTCTTTCCATCATTTTGTATGGCGAGGCATTGTACTCTAACCCCTTCCCAGGAATCAAGTATGTGACCTTCTAAATCGCACTGGTAAAACTGTCCTCGCATTCCACCACAAACAAACTTCCGTGAATCCTGTAGGAAAATAGTATCTTATAACCAATATAAATGTACAGCAAAATGTAATTAAAAACTTACTGAATGGATCGAATGAGTGCAATCAAGGAATGTATTTCCTTCCTCCACCATATTACATATCTCAAGATTAATAATTTTATCCACTGAACCTCTGGGTTGTGCAGCTGGACAACCCCTTAATGGAACTGGAACTCCCTTAGTAGCTGACATCCCCTTAGTGGAGAAAAAAAAAAAAAAAAAAAAAAAAAAAAAAAATTACATGCCGTTGAATGTAATGAAACGCCATTTTCTGGGCAAGTCCAGGAGGCTCCCCCCAGAGCTATCGAGCTAATGTCTGATATATTGGACCAGGTAATTAGTCTAAAGAGTTCGACTTACTGGGGACCACGGGACAGAACCTGTCTCTCAGAGATTGCAGGGAGCAATGACCCTGGAAAAAAAAAACCCTGAGGTTGGGGGTTTTCCTTATCTGCCATCGACTGGGGTTAAGCACCCAAAAAGGTAGACATAACAAAAATCCTAGATGGTAAGCAAATTACAACTAAAAACTGAAAAGAGGTAGAACTCCCTCCAATCCCAAGGAAATGAGCTAACAAGCAAACTTCACACACTACTACTGCACCGCTCGTCAGTGCAGCCCTCCCCGCGCCGGCTACCTAGCACTACAGTTTGGAAGCCAATCATCAAACAATGCGAAAAACCAGTGACCAGAGGGAGGCAGGCTTGCCAGGGAGCCTCTGGGTTTCTGGTTGCCTGGTTGTTGGACTGGTTGCTCTTTTTTCTCTCTTCGCCTCGGTTTGTTGTGGCCCCTTCAATTCAAGATTTTTCGAAGGCTCTTTTCCTGTTGGCATTGGCCTCTGGGGATTGGGTTGAGGGGAGCTTCATGCTCTCCTCCAGCACAGGAGTTTTTGCCCCTTTGGTCCTGGTGGTAGGTTTGCTCGTTTGCAGCCATCTCCTCCTTTTCTGGCGAAGAATAAGACTGCTGCTTTCCAGAGGGGTCCATGGGTTGTTGATGCTTGGTTGGTTTGGCTGGGGGTGCATCATGTGCTGTGTCCGTTTGCGGCTCTACCCTGTTACCTGTGTGCCACGGCCTCGGTGGCCAGGGACACACTTTGGGTTGACCCGGTTTTCCTTCTTCCCTGTTCCAGGATTCGAGTCTCCCAGGTCGTCCACAAGGTTATTCGGTCCAGCTAGCCTGCGGGCTATCCTCGTGCCCATGACGTTCGCAAGTTTGCTGCGTTGGCTGCCGTCTTTCGTAATATGTCTTGGGGTGACATTCGGGCACAGGGTTTTTGGAGATTGAACAGGGTTCTGGCCACTCGCTACCTAGTTAATGTTCCTGGCCCTCGATGGTCTTGTGTCACATTGGGTAGGTGGTTGTAGCGAGTTGTCTCGACTTCGAGTTGAGGAGTGAGTGGCGACTGCCTCCTGGGTAAGTCCCGCCTTTTATTTTTGGTTAAGTAGCTCCGGGGGGCCAAAGGGGCTCCCCCAAGAAAACCAGTGTTGAATGTAATGAAACCCCATTTTGTGGGTAAAACCCAGAGGCTCCCTGGCAACCCTCCCTCCCTCCGGTCAGCAGTAAAGCTGTTTTTGACATCCAGCCTCTGAACTGGGAGTGGATAGCCAGCACAGGGGGTCTGGAGCTCCCCTTTTCCCCTCCCAGGAAGGGGGGAGCTGCGCAGACAGCGGTTCGGTGATGGCTGTGACGTCATACTAGTTTTCCTTCCTTTCTAGGAGCCTGACCCGGTCGATGGCAGACATAGAATGCTTCCAACCACATGGAGTTTCTATTGGCCGCTGCTCCTCTTACCTCTGAGGGGAAAGGTTCTGGCTCGAGGTCCCCGGTAGGAAAAACTTCATTCGCTCCGACTGATGCCACGGTCTAATACATTCATATTAGACCAGATAGCTCCAGGGAGCCGAAGGGGCTCCCCCCAGAAAATGAGATGGGTTTGTAAATTCTACTTGGTCCACTAATTAGCTGCATTGAGCTTCCACGCTCTCGTCCCACACTCGAGCTCCTCGACGACTCCTGCATTCAGAGCACCAAGCTAAACATACACATACACACACACACTTTAGGAAGGAAGTAAGTTTAGGAAGTGATGTGGTGGAGACTGACTCCATACACAGTTTCAAGTGTAGATATGATAGAGCCCAATAGGCTCAGGAACCTGTACACCTTTTTATTTTTTAATTTTTAAAATTTATTAGAAAATTTTTTAGTGAGTATAATTGGACAGACTTGTTGCTAGGCAAGGAAGTGAATGAGATGTATGTCAAGTTTTGTGAAATATATGATAAAGGCACAAAAAATTTATACCAAAACAGATGCAGAACTAGGAAACAGGATTAGTTCAACAGAAATTGCGAGAGGGCCAGAGACCAAAAGACACAAAAATGGAATCAATACAGGAAGAGGCCAAACCCCCAAACATACCAGTGATACAAAGATGCGAGAAACAACTACACGGCAGTGAGGAGAGAGGCAGAAAGAAATTTTGAAAAAGGGGTGGCAGACAAATGTAAAACAGAACTAGGTCTATTCTATAAATTCATAAAAAACAAATTGCAGGTAAAGGATAATATTCAGAGGTTGAAAATGGGAAATAGATTCACAGAAAATGAAAAGGAAATGTGTGAAACATTAAATGAAAAGTTCCAAAGTGTGCTTGTACAAAATGAAAACTTCAGGGAACCAGACACAATAAGAATTTCAGAGAACAACATAGAGGTGTCTAGAGATGAAGTGGAAAAAATGCTCAAGGAGCTAAATAAGAACAAAGCAGTTGGTCCAGATGGAGTTTCACCATGGGTTCTGAGAGAATGTGCACCCGAGCTCAGCATTCCACTTCAACTGATTTTCAGGCATCCCTGTTTACAGGAGTTGTAGCTGATGTGTGGAAAAAGGCTAACATAGTTCCAATCTACAAAAGTGGAAGCAGGGAAGACCCCCTTAATTATAGACCTGTATCATTGACAAGTGTAATAGTCAAAATATTGGAAAAAATAATTAAAACTAAATGGGTATAACACCTGGAGAGAAATGATATTATATTAGAAAGACGGTATGGTTTTCGATCTGGAAGATCCTGTGTATCGAATTTACTCAGTTTCTATGATCGAGCAACAGAGATATTACAGGAAAGAGAGGGTTGGGTTGACTGCATCTATCTGGACCTAAAAAAGGCTTTCGACAGAGTTCCATATAAGAGGTTGTTCAGGAAACTGGAAAATATTGGAGGGGTAACAGGTAAGCTTCTAACATGGATGAAAAATTTTCTGACTGATAGAAAAATGAGGGCAGTGATCAGAGGCAATGTATCGGACTGGAGAAATGTTACAAGTGGAGTACCACAGGGTTCAGTTCTTGCACCAGTGATGTTTATTGTCTACATAAATGATCTACCAGTTGGTATACAGAATTATATGAACATGTTTGCTGATGATGCTAAGATAATAGGAAGGATAAGAAACTTAGATGATTGTCATGCCCTTCAAGAAGACCTGGACAAAATAAGTATATGGAGCACCACTTGGCAAATGGAATTTAATGTTAATAAATGCTATGTTATGGAATGTGGAATAGGAGAACATAGACCCCACACAACCTATATATTATGTGAGAAATCTCTAAAGAATTCTGATTAAGAAAAATATCTAGGGGTGGTTCTAGATAGAAAACTATCACCTGAGGACCACAAAGAATATTGTGCAAGGAGCCTATGCCACGCTTTCTAACTTCAGAATTGCTTTTAAATACATGGATGGCGATATACTAAAGAAATTGTTCACGACTTTTGTTAGGCCAAAGCTAGAATATGCAGCAGTTGTGTGGTGCCCATATCTTAAGAAGCACATCAACAAACTGGGAAAGGTGCAAAGACATGATACTAAGTGGCTCCCAGAACTGAAGGGCAAGAGCTACGAGGAGAGATTAGAGGCATTAAATATGCCAAAACTAGAAGACAGAAGAAAAAGAGGTGATATGATCACTACATACAAAATAGTAACAGGAATTGATAAAATCGATAAGGAAGATTTCCCGAGACCTGGAACTTTAAGAACAAGAGGGCATAGATTTAAACTAGCGAAACACAGATATCAAAGAAATATAAGAAAATTCACTTTCGCAAACAGAGTGGTAGATGGTTGGAACAAGTAATGCGAGAAGGTGGTCTGGGCCAAGACCGTCAGTAGTTTCAAAGCGTTATATGACAGAGTGCTGGGAAGACTGGACACCACGAGCGAGCGTAGTTCTCATCCTGTAATTACACTTGGGTAATTACACTTACACTTACACTTACACACACACACACACACACACACATACACACACACACACACCTCTGAAAAAAATCCAAGCTCTCCACCCCTAGCCTTATTTGGCTCTCTGCCCTGCTCCAGGCTTCGTCTCGACTACTACAACACAACTACATTGCAAACAAACTGACTCCTGTAACAAAGACTTTACTAAATAAATATAAAAAACCACTACTCTGTGTCTTATCAACCAAATACGTACAGTACACGTAAACATACGTTACACAAGTCACTTTATTGCTTCGTGTGAAATTTTGTTACCTCAAGCAAACATGCTAAACTGTGATGGAGCAGGCACAAATGAACTCTGAACACATGTAAACAAAGGTCTGCTCCGAATGGTCCAGGACAAAATTCCAAGGCACTACCAGGGAAGTGACCTAACTCAAGAGTAACCAGACAACACCAAGAATTTGGCTGACAGTCAGAAAATATAATTATGAAAAGCTGGTGGCCCACAACAATCAGCACCAGGAAAGAAAAGTCTGAACTCTGTTTAAATGGATAACACAATTGTTATTTTCTACAGAGCTGAGATGGATTGGAGGTGGGCATCGGACAACACTGTACCTGGGATTTCTTCTACTCCCCAAGTCTGGCCCAGGGCCAGGCTTGACTTCTGAGAGCTTGGTCCAACAGGCTCTTGCTTGAAGTGACCCACAGGGCCATATATCAACTATAGCCCGGTTGGTCCTACACTTCTTGCTTAAAACTGTCCAGGTTTTTTCTTGAAAATTTCCACTTTTGTTCCTGCTATACTAGTATTTCTTATAACTCCTGGGAGGATATTGAGCAATCGTGGACCTCTGAAGTCCATATAGTGTTCTCTGATTGTGCCTATTGCACCTACTCTTCACTGGCTCTATTCTACATTTCCTTCCATATCTGTCACTCCAGTATGTTGTTATTTTACTGTGCAAATTTGGGACCTGGCTTTCCAGTACCTTCCATGTACAGTACAGTATGTATTATTTGGTACCTCTCTCGTCTCCTTTCTAGAGAGTACATTTTGAGAGCTTTGAGATGATCACAATAGTTTAGGTGCTTTATCAAGTCTCAACCTCATGGACTAGCTAGCTAACCTCTGGAGTTGGATTGGCTAACCTCAACACTGAGATTAGCCAGCTCCTTTGGCTTGGTAACAATGTATTGTAATCTGGTGTTGGTTGGATTTGAATGTAAATAGCCAAGTACTTTGTAGCACTTATACTGCGCAAGGAAAATCGGTTAGTTTCATTTATTTCTTGGAGGAAGGACTAATTTTACATTTCTTAGGAGATATAGCAAATGGTCTAAATAGTTGTGGATTGAGCTTTATCTCACATCCCCAAGTGAAGCAGCATGATTGTTTTAAAGGGTATTTGTTACCATGGGGCACAGGTTGATAGAGCCTGATGGAATTGTTGTGTCCTGGCTGAGCATAGGCCCTGGATTAGGAGTAACCAAGGCACCATAATTCAAAATATGACAAATTTGTAAGGCATCCCTCTACCAGGAATAGTCAAATTAAAAATATTCTGATATATATTATAGCACACTAGTGAGTTAAGGTGCTTTTCAAATTATTAGAGTTATGGCATTTACTTAATATTAAAGAAAATGTTTGGCTGTAGCACCTTATGCCATGCAGCACACGTAAGGGAATCATCAGGAGAATTGGACACCTTGCAGATCTGCTCTCCACGCTCAGTGTCCCAAACCTATAATACATAAAGCAAGTTCTAGTATTTGTAAACGAAAAATATATAAAATTCCCTAGTCAGAATAATAATGTTACATATAAAGCAATATTAAACAAAACTCTATTTATAATTCATTAATGCAGCCCTATAGATTGGTTAGGATATCTGTAATGCAATTGATTTACAGTATTTCTAAATGTCACAAGACATTAAAAAGCAAAATGACAATATTAATTTACCACAGAGAATCTGACAATATATTTTCAAGCTTACCACAAGTTCAGCAGCCTCCTCTTGTAAACAAACTATAAGTTTGGAACTATCTGGACTCCAGGCTAAATAAACAACACCATATGAATGCCCATCCAAGGTGAAACGTCTTGTGACTGTCAAAGTTTCCTGTAAACAATAAAAAGAAAAAAGCAGCATTCAGTATAATGAAACACCAATTTCTGGATGAGCTTCGGTGGCTCCCTGAAGCTATGCACCGAGATGATTCCCAGTTACTAGGTCACATCAGCTGTGGAATTCTATAGGCCTACCAGAGACCAGAGCCAGAATCTAGCCCCTCTCATAGAGGTTCAGGGAGCGGGGACATTTTGCCAATGAACCGGGGAAGGCAACCAGAGTTAGTAAGTCAAAACCAACCACTGCTGGATTCAAGAGAGACCAAAGCCTTGAAACCTGCCCAATGAACTACCTCAACTATGAAGAGAGAGACAAAAAATAAATAAATAATTCTCTCAAAACTAGCATGAGCTGACCTTCTGATAAAGGTGGTGCCATGGAAAAATGCCGGGTTTGGACACTGAGCAAGTAATGCCTGAAACAAGGGCTGAGCCAGCCACCAAGGAGCCAAAAGGATCACCCTCCCTTGGAAGGACTCCAACCTGTCTAGGATCCAGAGCAACAGCTGGACTGGAGGGAAGAGGTAGAGGAACCTTCACCTCAATGAGTCCAGCCGAAAGCATTCACCGCAAGGACCTCGAGAGCGGGGAATGAAGCCGCATACAGAGAATGGATCGAGGAATGAAGCCGCATAAAGTCGTACTAAAATGTCCTTATCTTAACCTACCAGAGGACCCAAAACAGAAAATGGGACAGTATGTCAATTCATGAGATGCTACTATTTTCGAGTACACTATGACAATTTTTGGCTTTAGGTAGAGTATACATCAAAATGGGACGTTTTATTAGGATGACGGGTTGCACATAAAGGCAAGCAGCATCGATGGTCCACTCCATGGAAATGGGGCAGATCATTTGTCCCATCAGTCATAAGAGTTCTATAGGCCTACCAGAACTTTACAGTTAATACAATCTAGTAGATGGGAACGATCCAAGTGTATAGCTTCGAGAGCCACAAGGGGGGACTTCCCCAGAAAAAAATATTACACATTTGTATTCAGTGTGAATTGAGGCACCAAGGCAGAGGGACTCTGCTACATGGAGGGTCTCTAGATCTAGATGCGTGCCTGTTGCAGATATGGGTATTGCTGAAAAAGGTCCCCTGCATGGGATGGGAGGCACCCATCATTCAGAGACAGGACTTCTCCATTTTTGATGTTGCAGCACTGAGCATGGCATCAGTTATTATTTCCACCACTGGGCTGTCCCAGCTGGACTGCATTTTTTGTTGGATCTAAGTTGGGTGCTGGAGCTGCAAGAGCATTCCAATGAATTGAATATTTAATAAAAGTTTAATAATTTATCACCCTACAAGATTACCCAAAGGTTTTGGTAGTATTTCTCTTGCAGGGTCATGCAATGCATAGGAGGAGGAAAAGAAGGCTGGTAAAGCAATCTGGGAAGCCATGTGAACTCCAAGGCCATTAAGGCTCATCCAATGGAAGGTCGAGGACTTTCTCTAGCATGGACTTCAAGGGGGTGTCATACTCGTTGAATTTGGCACTGCTATGGGATGGAGAACACCTTAGAAAGTACTGTAAGTCATCTTAGAATGAGACAGGTATCTTTTGAGAAGGAAGGAAGGATTATGAGCATCAACATCAATCCTGACCTGCATCCTCCTTAGGTTAGTGATTTTTGCATCCATAACCATCTCGGTTGTTTGCAGGCCATTGGGGGCACCCAGGAGGAACACCAGGAAAAAGCTTAGTCACCACTCAAGCACGATTGGATGAATGGACAAAGGGGAGGGAAATGATTACATACAGCTTTGAGGTCAGCATCTCTTCTGACTTGATTGAAGGCATTTTTAAAGTCAAGCTTAATTATTGCCTTCTTGTCTTAGAGGTTGAAATGTATGCATGCATGCATGCGCTGCATGTATTGCAGCTTCACAGCCTAGGGAGATCCCAAACCAAGCTGATTAGGTTTCAAAATGGCAGCTGCTACCTGGCCAAGTGATCTCACTGCAGCCTTAGCTATGAGGTATCAGAGGGCATTGCCAACGGCAATGGGGCCCGATTCCCCCATCCTCTATTTTCAGGGCACAGAGGGCTGCTCAATAAGAGATGCCCATGTACTGAGGGAGGCTGCCAGCCAAACACATGTTGGAGAATCTTTTAAGTTCAACTAGAAGGATCTTTGTGGCATTTTCAAGAGCTGCATTGAACATCTGTTTGATTTGCTGGGGCCTTTGACTTGTGAAGTCCTCTGCTGAACCTGGCAGAAGACATGGCTGCTTTGTACATCTCAGATTCTTGATCAGTTAAGGGTTCTGTACCAGCATTATTTTTCACAGGATCACTGCTACTGCCTCAAGCTCAATGTGGGCATTTGTATTATAGAGAAAAAGTAAATACTATACTATACTGTTATGGCATTTCTGGGGGTAACAGTATTCTCACTGGTTATGACTTATTGCACCTGCAGTATTCCCCTCATCTATTTTCCTGCAGATCTGTTCTTTCATTTCATGGTTTTTAAATTAGTTGTTCTGCAGCCGTTATTCTTGGAATGAGGAGAAAGGTGGACTAGTTGTCTTATCTGAGGAATTCATTAATAGCACTAATTACTGAAGTTGATATTGACTTGTTTCTCCCTAGTTGTATAGCGAGGCATACATTGCAATAGACTGTGCCACGCTCTGATGGTTTTAGGAGCATTATTGACTTTTGTCAGAAGGCTGCCGAGTTTGGTTGGTGCTTCCTGATGGGTATATATAAAGCATACTGTAAGAGAGAAAGTCAGTCAGTCTGTCCAAAGTTGGAGGCCAGACAGATAGCATCACTAAAATTCACAGAGGGGCAAAGGGAATGGTCTGGGATATGGATGAGACATAGGCTGGTTGGGGTAGGCTTAATGTTTAAAGAAATAATGTGCTAGCAGTTTAAAGACCCACATGCCATTTTCATGTTTTCAAGTGTCTCGTGTGATTTCAATGAAGTTGATAATGAAAGGAAACAAGCAATACGAGAGACACACATTTGGTGCATCTTGAAGAAAGAAAGAGAAAGAATGAAAGAAAGAAAGGGGAGAAAGAAAGACAAAGAAAAAGAAAGACAAAGAAAAAGAAAGAATAGAGTGGGGGAAGAGAACATAGGGATGTGAGGGAGAGCCTGAGAAGAATTTTTCAGCTATAATAACAATAATCACATAATACCTACTGGATCAACATCCCAAATTATTACTGTTGAATCTTTGGATCCTGTAGCCAATTTACTTCCATCAGGACTGAAGCGAGCAATCCAGACCTCATCACAGTGGTCTGAAAGGATCTGGACGGTAGTTCCTGGGAAGGCATTTCGCGAACAAGAGTGGTCCATAAGTAGTGAGCCTCCAGAACCAAGGACCTGAAAGACATTGACAGAGTAATGACATTTTAGTTTTTAACATTTTAAAAGAATTTTCAAGTAATGTACCGAATTATAGTACTGTACACTATTTTATAAGTTTTAAAGAAACACACAAACACTTTCACAAGCATTTTCTCTCTCCCTCTCTCTATCTCCTTCATAATTACATAAGTGCAGTTAAAGGATGATAGTTAGTGCACTGTACTCTCGTAGTGTCCCGTCTTCCCAATAATCTTTGTCATATGAAGCTTTAAAACTACCGATTGTTTTGGCATCCACTGCCTTCTCATTTAACTTGTTCCATCTTCCAACAACTTTCTTTGCAAGAGAAATTTTGCTTGGCACCAAACGTACAGAACCAAAGATGCTGAAAAAATGTAAGAAAGTGGTTGATAAAACCAGTAGTAGTTTCAAAGCAGTACATGACAAAAATTATTGTAAAGATGGGACACCACATGCACACAGTGTACTAACTCTCATCCTTTAACTGCACTTAGGTAATTACCAGAAGGGGTGAAGACTAAGAGAACGGGTACGTGGTCTGAACAGGGGGTGGGGGTGGGGGGTTCGAGAGAGGGAGGGGAGAATCGAGAGAGATAGAGGGGGATGGGGGAAGGGAGAGCATGAGTGTGCACAAGAGACAGAACATGAGAATGAGCATCAGAGATAGATAGATGTATATATAAAGAGAAAAAAAAATGAGAACAAGAACTTGGAATAAGAGAACAAGAAATACACTTGCGTAAATGCCAAGCCATTGTAACGGGGGGTGGGGGAAATAGCTCTATCTTGTCCATTATTCCATCCCCCAGTTAACTAACGAGGCCGGGGGAAACAGCTCTCTCTAGTCCGTTATCCCGTCCCCAGTTAGCTAACTATTCTAGAGCACTCCCAGAGTTCCTAAGGCAGCCTCTCTCGTTCAACACCTTGTAACCTAGGTATTCGACTCCCTAGGTGCTAAGACTACAAGGCGCCGTAACTGGATCAGCTACCCGAAACTCTAGAGAGAATTCTAGAATACAGAATCATTGCCACAAACGTATAAGAGAAAACGAAAGGAAAGAAATGAATAGTGAAGTAATTAGTGAGGGTTTGGGGCGAGAGGTAGGGAGGTGGGAGGAGCGAGGAGGGTCATTAGTTGAAAGTGAGAGTTTAGAGAGGGGTGGAGGGAGAGGAATAGATAGGTAGAAGTAGAAGAGTAGATAGTAGAAGACGAAATGCTGCCACCATCCATTCTAGACCATTACCTACAAGACAAGGAATGGAACTTGTCTGTATCACAATATTCTCAAAAGATGTTATCACCATGTATCAACTCCAAACATAGGGGACACAGTTAAAGGCAATTTAAATAATAAATTCAATTATATTTCACATACTAAGTATCATAATTTAAGCAATGTTCAAGATCTATATATGTAAAGTGAGTCATCCTCCAAGAATCTGAGAACACTACAACTGACTGCCCCTGATCATCACACAACATATGTAAACATGACCAAGTCACCTTAATGTCAATTCAACATATGCAGCCTATACTCTTGAAATGAAAGTATTTATGGTAACTATGTTTTTGATAGCACAAATATGTCATGATGGACCAATAGAGAATACTTTTGTATTGTTGAATTTGGATAAACCAGTGAAGTTTATATGTTTATGTCGCTAATAAACCTTAACCTAACCATTCTAGGCCCAATACTCACTATCTAGGGCCTAATATAGTATACATGTTATACTAGACCTAGAAAAATTTAAACTTTGTTTTTAGCTTTTTTTATTTTTATTATACACACACAAACACACCAAAGACCAAACGACCACACACTCGGGACCAAAGAGCCAAAGCTCAACCCCCGCAAGCACAAATAGGCGAGTACACACACACACACACACACACACAAAAGAAGGTACATTGGGGTTGTGAGGATACATAGCATGGTGTTAACATTCTTGTATAGTTCTTTCCAGACTATAAAAAAAAACAGCGTTGAATGTAATGAAACGCCATTTTCTGGGCGAGACCCAGAGGCTCCCTGGAGCTTATCCAGGCTGATATGCCAATTTCAGACTTTGGCATCAATCATGTGTATGGAGTTCTGTGGGTCTACCGGGAACCATGAGCCAGAACCTGGCCCCCCTCAGAGAAGCATGGGAAGCAATAGCCTATAGAAACCCCCGTGTGGTCGAAAGCATTCTATGCCTGCCATCGACTGGGTCAGGCACCCAGAAAGGTATGCATCCCAAAACAAACCCCTATTCTGGTTATTTATTTATTTAGTTATATTTAGTGTTATATTTATAGCACAGTTATATTTATAGTATAAAACAAAAGTACAGGGACCTAAGCTGACCCCAAGGGCAAGGAAGTAACCAAGCAGTCACGACCACTATGGGAATGACCTGAAAGATCCAGAGAAGAGAACTCTGAGCCCCAAGGGGCTCAGAGTTCATGCAGCTCTTGGTACAAACTCCATGCAGCTCTTGGTACAAACTCTTGGCCACCGCCAACACGCAGAAGGAACACCAGCAGGGTGAGCCAATCAGGTAACCGAGGCCAGAGCAAGTGTCCACCCAATATAGCTTCAGCCAAGAAATTGACAGTCCGGCTGCCGGGTCGGTGAGCCGTGACCCTTCTCCCCCTCTCACGGGGTGGGGGGGGGGGGGGGTGGTGTTCCGCACAAACAAAAGGTGCGCTGCGTGATAACGTGTTGCGTATTGGCTCGTTTTTCTTTGGGGGAGATTGTAGCCTCTGTTTGATATTAGGTGCCAATATTTTCACCAGAAGGGGTCTGTTTTGAAGTGCCTACCTGCCTGGGTGCTCAACCCCAGTCGATGGTAGACATCAATACTTTTATACATAGGAGTTTCATAGGCAATTGCTCCCTTCACCTCTCTGAGGGAACTATGTTCTGGCTAGTGGTCCCTTGTAGGCATGACAACTCCGTAAGACTGAAGCCCAGTACTAATATTAGCTAATATCGGCCCAATGGCTCTGGGGAGCCGATGGGGCTCCCCCACAGAAAATTACAAAAAGTGGCTAACTGGGTTTCCGTTACTATATACAGTATATGGGTACACTTGACCACAGTTACAAAAAGTACTATAATTTCAGGAGGATGTGTTGCAATCTATGATTGCAAACTTGCAATCATAGCTTAGGCAGATAACCACTTGCAACAAAATTAGGCCATAAGACAGCAGCAGACCCAACAAAGTGCTACACTGCCAAATCAACCACAAGGCACAAGGTTGCATAGATAAGGCCAGCCTCCTCCAAAGTATGAAGGCAGTGTTGCAATTGTAATTTAACACTTTCGCGCTATCTGGACGCGCCGGCGCGTTCGGTTTCGTCTAACGTAAACGCATAGTGGACATAAAGTTATGTCAACTTTTAAAATATTTGTATAAAATTCAATTTTTATCCGATTTACTTTGGGTTTGTTTCAAACTGCGCGCTATGAGGCTCTCTTTCTCACCACTAGGCTGCATGGTACAATAAGTTCATGAAAGGTGTGGATAACTTCGATCAAATTGTATTTTGTCCCAAACAGGTTGCAGGTGGGTGACTTTAGCCGTTTATACTGATAATTCTTCCCCCATATCATGTATTATATGCATATGTCTGTTTAGGGAATTTTATTCCGATCAATATACAACCAAAAATAACTGTGTGCAACAAGTATAATCTTGACAAACATAACAAAAGTAAAAATATTTCGTGTGTGTTTGACGCTCACTGATATGTTCCAGCGTTGTTTTATATTTGTCGCTATTCTAACTTACGCTTTGTTGATATTTTTTACCTATGGGCACATAGAACATTCTATTGCAAACACATTGACATAAAAATGAATGACGTACATAGAAAATTAATGTCATGAGAGTGAAATAAGTATAAACTTTCAAAGCGCCGTGCGTCGTCCCGTCACCGATACCGGGTAACAATTTCACCACTTCCCACACTCTTGCGGGCGGGCTGCATCATTATTCTATGCTTATATTCATATCACCGTGTTGGGAATTTCATTGCGAGTCCATTGATACCAAAATTAACGCTGTAGAGCAAGTGTGGAGGTGATTACAATCCCAAGAGTAAAAACATTTTGTTGCTGATGGGCGCTCACGGCGAGTCATCTATGTAGTTATTTATTTGGTGCTGGTATCCCTATATGTTTCGTGACTTATTTTACTAATGTTCTTCTAGAGAATTTTATTGCGAACACGTTGGTACCAAAATGAAATACGTAGCATGAGAACTAAGGTCAGAAGAGTAAAAAGAGTATACACATTTTTGTTTTTACGCTTAAGCGATAAAAACGCAGCGCGCACATTCGGTTGGCTGAGTGACCTTTGCGGAGAGCGCGAAAGTGTTAAAATGGCATACTACTGATAACTCTGAGTGAGACATATAATACGATATTAATAAGATTTTAGATTTATAAGCACCACTGAATATAACGAAATGCCTGTCTGGTAGTGCCCTGGAGGCTCCCTGAAGCTATATCACTGAGGTGGCTCCCCTCTACTGGGTCACATCATTTGCACGAGTCCTGTTTGGCCTACTGGGAACCAGAGCCAAAACCTGGTTCTCTCACAGAGGTCCAAAGAACAGGGGACCAAATATTTTTGCCACCCTCACTGGGAAAGCATCTAGAAAGTTAGTGAATGATTTACAGACAACTGCAAGAAAATGAAGCATTGAAACAGCCAAATTGAAATGGCTCCAAATCCAAGGAATGTAATGAAACATTGGTTTCTGGTGGATCCATGGTGGTTCTTTTGGACCATCTGTCACATTCCAGGGCACCAGTTTTCCATTTACCTAGGAATTCAACGTTTATGGATTGAGAGGCAAGGTGTGCACCCCTGGTGGTGCATGCAGGTAGTACTACAGGCAACGTGAAATTTGTTTAGACATGTCCACCTTTTAGTACCCTTTCTTCATTCAGATAATCTATGATTGACTTGAGAATGGTCCAGGACGGACCGAAACGTCGTCATCCTTTTCACCTTCTGTGTGTGTGGTCTGGTCAACAATCTATGATCCCCTACTTCTTGTGCCTCTTTAGAGGGAGGCCAAGTTTTGGCCTATGGTTCCTGGAAGGCTTACATACGACTTGCAAAGACCTGTTGTGGATTGATATGGTGAAGCGTGCAAGGCAGCAAGCACCAATATGCCACCATAAGAGTCCTTCAAGGAAAAACTAGCTTTCAATGTAATGAAATGCCTCTTTCTGGTCAAGCAATGGTGACTCCCTGAAGCTATTTTGCTGAGATGGCTTCCCATTACTGGGTCAGTTGTTGGTGTCCTTTTTGGACTATTGGGGACTAAAGCCAGTTCCAGATACCCCCATTACATAGGCACAAGGAGCTGGAAACTGTAATAATCACCCACATCAGAAAAACAACAAAGTTAGCAAAACAATAGAGATCCATAAATTTCATATAAACAAAAGCACCTAAACAGCCAAACTACTGTGCAAAAAATTTCTAAGAACAAATGGTTCATTCAAAACTTAAACTCCCCATTGCAAATATCTGGCAACAGATGGTGTCTTGGCCAAAGCTCCCGAACACCAGCAGGCTTCAAGGACAATTCAGAGTCTATAACTATAAACCGAAGTGCAGACAACCAAACGCTTTCCTGGATGCCACTTTGCCATATATGCCTGTAATCCGTTTTGGGTTTGTCCGAATAAAACAGTCTTATTAACCGATTAACTGTTTAATCGGGCGGTCCAAATATAAATGTGCAGAAAAGAAGTTGCGAGGCAAGTGCCCCCAGGCCATGCTGCCCATGGGTGGTGGAGGGTACATGGGTGGGAAATGGGCTTATTTTGCCCAACGACCAATATTCGGTGCCACTCGAGCAGCAATCTGACACTGATGGATGGCTCAGAAGCTTAAGCTCTGCTATGGCATTTGGGACATGATGAAGGGCAGTTTGCTGAGGTCATCTCATCACCAATAATCTCCACTTCAGTCAACCCAACACCAACATCCACCATCACCTTTTCCTTCTAAATAACAATGCTCTATTAACTATAATCTTTAAGTTAACAAGAGAATCAGAACTTATGTTAGTAAGTACAGACAAAATACTTTTGAATCCTTGCAATAAATGTGTCTAATTTTCCCCTAGCTTTCTTTTATGATGAACCGCTTATCCGGAGACAACAGATTATTTGTTCAGTCTCGGTCCAGAGGCATCCGGAAAGCATGTTAACCTCTGTACTTGGTAGAGGGTAGAATGTGGGGGCCAGGGAACCCCCTGGACTTCTGGAGGAGCCCCTTCAGAGACCCACCAAGCTCAGAGAAGAAGGAAGACATGGGAAATACCAGAGGGGGAGGAGGAATTTGCAAACACCATGGGACTGAGGGGAAATCACAGGCCTCCTAGCTTGAATGACATTGCAAACAACTTGAGAAATACAAGCCTTGGAACAGGAGACCAAGAAAACAAAGCATCCACCAGAGTGGAACGGGTGATATGCAAGTAGTGGCGAAGCGCAGGCACCAGACAACAAATGATGCACCCTAGTCTGACCAACCAAACTAAAAGGGGCAACTGAAAACCGAGAGGAGGAAAGAATCACAACATCCTACCTAAAGACCAATATGACTCAGGAGCAGCAGCAGCAGCATGAGTTGGCTGGTAGTGAAAGAAAGCCTCATAACCTGCAAAGTGGGATGAAAGCAGCAATGATGCTGAGCACAAGTAACAGTGGTTCTGCCACTACAGAATGTCAAGAGGCAACATTATTAGGCACGAGAAGCAAATCTGAAAAAAACAGGAGAGAAAGAACAGAACCACTGAAGACGGATGACGAAGGGAAAGAAAGGCAAAACAAGTGCAAAGCAATTACATATTGCCACCGCAAATCAATACTAATGTGGGACACCAACTGCAGCCACCTGCTGACCATACAAATGGCAAGAAACCTACTTCAGAAAACCCCAGATGCATAGAGCAGAGCCAAAGGCCAGAAAAAGAGGCCAATCTCCTAGGATTGGACATAGCACCAGAAAAGCTGGAAACCAAGTCAGCCAACACAGAGCCCGGAGAATCACAATGCCAGAGAACAACTTCATTTTAGACAACACCCGAAGCAACACCTGACCCCAGGAAAAGAAGGTCATGAATATACACCGAAACCAGACCAGTCAAAAGGCATTCACCATGAACCTTGCAATCGAAAAATGGAGCTACACATGAAGGAAGTTGCTACTTCCATGCCAACACAAAGAGGTGCACCTCAGGGACAATAGAACTTCTCACAAGGCCAAAGGAAGGAGGCATTGTCAATGGTCCCCTCCTCGAAAATATGATGGAAGCGTGATAACCCCATCTGCAAGAACATTACATCCCTCCCCCCCACACACATGAACAGTGTGGAGAACCAGTCCCCAAGAAGCAAGTTTTTAATTTGGGGGATTATCTTTGTCATCCTGCACTGGACGCGTTCTAGAGAATTTAACCATTCTATAGTATGGCGACCAAAACTGAACTGCATAATCTAAATGGAGCCTAACCAGAACAAGATATAGCTGAAGATCAACACCAGGTGTCTATTACTAAAGCTGTGATAAATAAATCCCAGTGTTTTATCTGCCTTATTATGAACATTTATGCATTAATTTTTTGGTTTTAAATTCTTAATCATAACTCCCAGATCCCTTTCGCAATCCAACTTCGCACTCTCAACACCATCTAGTTCGTATCTTGTAACTATCGTCATTACCTAGCCTCAAAACCTTACATTTGTCGACATTAAACTGCATCTGCCAATCTTTTGACCATTTCAAACCCCTATTTAGATCGTCTTGAAGTGATAGCGAGTCTTGTTTCTTGTTAATTTCCCTCCTGATTTTTGTATCATCGGCAAATTTGCAAATGTTACTGCTCAAACCTGAATCTAAATCCTTTATATATATTATGAATAACAGAGGTCCCAGGACCTCCTTTACCTTTTCTAATGACACGTTACACAACATCACACCTTACCACAATCAACTGCCTCAACTATGCTGAGATAAAATGATAGCAAATTTGTTAAACATGAACGACCAGTAGTAAAACCATGTTGTGAATCATTTATTAAGCTATGTTTTTCAAGATGAAAACAAATGGTATTTGTAATTATCGATTCAAGCAACTTTCCCACAATATACGTTAAGCTAATTGGCCAGTAGTTTGACGCAAGTGATCTATCTCCTTTCTTGAATAATTGGTACTGTATCTTATTAGCAATCTTCCACGACTCTGGTACTCTGCCTGAATCTAATGATTTATTATTATACCTCACTAAGGATTGATTACTATGCAAATGCAGTTATCACAAATGTTAATATGTCAAATGCAGTAAGTGTCATGTATAAAACTACATTATAATTACATGATATGTATACCAACTATGTTCATATGCTTTCACAACTCTATATGGTTGTATTGAAGTATACCATATCATCTGAACCTAATAATAAAAACTGCTTAAGGCCTATTGGCCTATATGAGGCAGCTTCACCAGCAATGCCAAGGGAGGATACCTAAACATTAAATTTAAACCAATGTATGGTATCAGTTACTAAATATACATAACACATGCTCATGAAAATATTTAAGCATGAAGCCAAATTTGCTTGGGCCAACTAGTCCTAAGGAAAGCTAAACACTTATCCAGGAGGTGACACTGATCACTATAGATAATGTACCATGAAATGTGTGTTTCACAAATGCCTGGCCTAACCACTTTGTCCTATTTATGGGAGTGTGTTAGCATATGGGACAACCTAGATAGATTAGTAGAAATGTTAACCCCCAGATGATCAGAAATTAGTCAGCCCAGCTCTAGATGACAGTGAAAAAGCTCAACGAAGATAAACATTTCTCAAGGAAGATTATCGTACTAATTAAAAAGTAGACCAAATTTCAGTCTATCTTCAGTTCTAACATAAAGGTGTAATAAATACATTGCTTGCAATTTCATCTACTTTAAACATTTTAATATAATTTCCACTACAGTATGTACATGTGCACTAAAGCCAATGGGATATTACTACTGACCTTTGCATAGCGTTGAATGCAGTCGTCATCACTTCCTCTACTCACCTGACTATCGCTGCGTGTGTTGTGGTAGGCACACTGGGTACGCTGCTGCTCCACAGCTTGAAGAATTAAAGTTTCAAGTCTGCAATATTTTTTATGATTACAAGAAGTCTACAGCAATAAACACACAGTAATGCAGATAGTATTTATATATAAATCCAGTGTCGACTGTAATAAAATACCCACCCCACCTGTTATCGTCAAGGCTATAGCACCCCACCAGATCATTTGAGTCCCAGGAACCAGGGACTCAGAATCAGACAAGACCAGAATCTTGTCTCCCCTACCCCCTCCCTCAGTAGAGGGGCAAGGGAGAGTGACAATACTAAATCAACCCAGGTCAAAAAAGAAAAATCACCCCATGAGGTAAAGTGCCCTAAAAGAAGCAACTGCATCAAAATATTGGTAACCCTGACACAAGCTATGTAATCATTCATTGTCCAAATCTAACTGGTAGTTAGATACACCTGCCTACCACAAAATGGCAGCTCTGGCAACCCCAGGCTACCCATCGGCTGCCTTCATTAGACATATGTCAATGAGAAGTGACCTTCGAGACTCCCGGAAAAGACAGAAGTGCAAGAACCTTTACTTTGCCTTGCTTTCATTATACCTGTCGATGATTCTGAGGATCAACATCCTTGCAGGGTGAGGCCTGGTCTCTGACCAGGCCTCCTAGTTTGTGGTCTGATCAACCAAGCTGTTCGACGTGGCTGCTTGCAGCGTGACATGATTCAAAACCTGGTTGATCAGGTATCCTTTGAAGGCATTTATCAAGTTCTTTTTGAAGGGACTCACCAGAGGGGCATTTCATTATATTCAGTGCTGGCTTTCTTGATAACTACGTGACACCAATACACGATAACCTCATTGCTTAGAAAGCAATTTTAAAATAATTTTATAACAAATTATTCATGGGGGTTCAGGTTAAATTCATTATATTCAAAACTACAGATGTATAATTACCACTTTTACATCACATATTTAAAGTGAACATTGAAACAAGTTGATATTTTCACATTTTTGTGTAAGAAAACACAGATTTCTTAAACTTCTGACAAAGTTTTTACCAATGTAACATTAAAATTAATAAAATCATTTGAAAAAAATACATCGAGGAAAACTTTCCGATTAATTTTGACAGTAAATAGCTTATTAGACCATGATCTTCAAAACATATTTAGCTTTAAAATTCATTTTAGTTTGAACATTTTTCTTTTTTAAAGTCAATCCATAATTTGGTATAAATGTTCAAGTTCAGAAATTTATAACTCAATAAGTTACACTTTAAATAAAAAAAACTAATAATTCTGACCGAGCATCATATTAGCACATGTAAGTCAAGAGAGTTATACACTTCGAAGTTGCAAAAACTCACTTCTGAGCAAATGAAGTTCAAAAGTTGATGCCACATTTAATAGAATAGGTAGATATCGTCTGACTCTCATCAAACTTTACACATCTGTTGAATGTGGTACATTCATTATTGTGGTGAAGTTTCAAACATTTTGCTTTTCAAACAATGGAGAAAAAATGAATGAAAAAATACAAAATTAATTTGTGCATTTTTGACTGAAAAGATATTAGTATTTGCCAGTGTATATCTTTCTTCAGTTAATGCATTTAGTTCACATCTTATGGCATACTTACACACTAAATTGGTATTCATATACATTGTATTTATATACTATACCTTATATATGGATACCAATGTATACATGTAAATCAATTACACAGTTGTATACTGTACATAACTGAGCATAATATTACATGTACTTTATGTATAGTGTCACGTAATTACCCTTCTTAAGTCGGGTAATGTCATCTTCTTCACTCCAGTCTTCATCGATTACACATACATTATTGTAATCCATTGTATTAAGTGGTAATTCCTTAATATGTAAATAACTCCATGTCAGAAGTAACACGATCATGTAAGCCATGCCAAAGTGTCTGTTTATATACCAGCTTTCGGCACTGACAAAACATGACATCACTGTCTAGATGTCTGGATTCTTAGTATAAGTAATGGTGTCCAGGCGATGACCCTTGGTCTCAGGCATTCCAGAGTGGAACATTTTACTCTCAAGCGATTTGTTATGACAGGTCATTTTCGGGGTTTGGAGTTAGGTAACGTATCTTTTAGTCATTGATTGTATTTAACTTGTTTAAATCTTTGTCCAAGTCAAAGAGTTGCTTTCAGTGTTAATACTTTGTTTATTTGCACCTTATGCTAAAATGTACAAGCCACATGTATTTCAAGATGAAGTAATTTATTTTGTTTTAACAAATTATTTTGTATTTCTCTTAGTGGTTTTTCTAACCAATTCTTGTTTCTCATGATTACACCTCAAAGACAGACTTTTTGTTTGTTTATGGGAAAATGAAGCATACCATCTGCTGGGTATTACCACAATACTTTTTCACATAACAATAGCTATAATGTTACCAGGATATTCTTATTCCATCCTGCATCAGCTGCATTCTTACTACAGCAATTTAACAGCATAGTTAATGCGTATGTGCATGGGTTATTCCACAAGACAGCACCCCTGATAGTCAGTCACCTCTCACTGAGCCAGCATAAAACGGGGCTGACACCGCTGTCACACTTGATAAATATTCATCATTAATTTGTAATTATCTTATAATAAAAATTATCTTGTAATAAATATTATCACCATTTTTCTGCTGAAATAATGGTCTTTTTGCACATATAATCTATATGCTAAAAGATCAATAAAATTTATGATATAATAGGAAAAAGTAACCCAGAGCAACTTTATTGAGAGAGAGAGATATAAACCACCACCTCGCCTACGAGTGAAACACTAAGGGGAAAACACACATGACAGCACCTGTTGCTTTTGACTAGTTGCCATTCTGAAGTTGCCACAGAGCCTAATTTAAATAATTTTTAGTACCAAAAAATTAATAAACAAATTTTACATGACTTTTCTCATAGAAAATAGCATACGTAAAATACATTAGGGAGGCCGATTCCCTTTTTTTAGGGTAATAATGAAAAATACACATACAATCATCAAATTGTCTTGATTATTGTTAGTGTGTGTTGTCAAAAGGACGATATATTTTTAGAGAATTTTTTTTTTCAGTGCGAAGCTAGCCCAAATGGCTCTTTAATATCTTATTTCTCATTAGCATGAAAACTGGATTTCACATATTGTAAAATGTTAACTAGATCATGTTATCGTCTACAGGTGTAAAAGGTAAATGAAAAGTAGCAGAATGCAACAAAATTAGGCCCTGTTTACCTATGTGGAGGCAACATTATTGAAGGTGGCAAAAAATGCTGCAGACGGTCCATGAGCTCTTTTCTGGAGTCCTTGCCCATGCCTGTCCAATGTGCTGCAGCTCGCAGCTCCTCAGGATTTGACATAAACATAAGGCTAAAATATAAACAAAGTTATTAAAAATTACAATGTGCTTCAATTCTGAACATGCAATCACATGTAAATTATGTTTTATAGTAAATATAAAACTATGAGTACTGTATAAATGAAACTGCAAAAGACCAATTGGCCCACATGAGGCAGCTCCTATTTATATCCACCTAAACTCATTCATACACAATATAATCTATAATACATAATCATATTAATGTATATATATATAATATGTACTACTGAGTGTCCCGGTAGTACAGTCAGGTTCGTTCTCGACGCACAATCGAGAATTCTGGAATCCTGGAGCGACACAGAAATGGTTGGGCACATTTCCTTTCACCTAATGCCTCTGTTCACCTAGCAGTGAGTAGGTACTCAGGAGTGAGTCAGCTTGTTGTGAGGTTGCATCCTGGGCAGGGTCAGTAATTCTACCTTGGATACCTTGATAAAAGCAAAACGTGTATAAATACACTCTGGCCTCCTGTTCCCTGACAAAATTAATTATTATTATTATGATTTATAAGTAAATTACGTTTGATACAAAGCAGCCATCCCACATCAATTGTTACTTTGTAAATTATTCCATAAATCAACAATTTATGCCCGGAACGCTGCGCGTATGCCCAATATTTATGCCCGAAACCGCTGCGCATACTAGTGGCTTTACAAGAATGTAATTACTATGCTATGTATCCTCACAATCCCATGTACCTTCTTGTGTGTATATGTATGTATGTATGTATATGTGTGTGTATATGTATATATGTGTGTGTGTGTGTATGTATGTATGTGTGTATATATATATATATATATATATATATATATATATATATATATATATATATATATATATATATATATATATAAATAAATAAATAAATAAATAAATAAATAAATAAATAAATAAATAAATAAATCATTTCCAAACCAGTATTTGCCCAGACATTCCTGAATCTAAATTCAATTTCTAGTTACTGTAGTTTCATTTTATTTTGTATAGTTAAATTTAAAATCTTCTTTATGTCCACTTTCATTCACTTGAGTACTTCAATCCTGTCATCCCTTACTTTTTGTGTTTCTAGAGAATATAAATTAAGATTTTTAACCACTCCATAAAAAATGTTTCTAACTGTTAGAATTGCTTTGTTTTCTACTCTATACACTATGCATCTTATTTATTATCATCTATACATTTACAAGTGTTGCTGTTCAATCCTGTGACAAAATCTTTGATAAGTTGTAAACAATGGAGGTCCCAGGAAAGCACCAACAAGTACTCCAGGAATTAGCTTAATTTATGCCAACTTTCTGCTCTCTTTGAAACAACCAAGACCTAATCCAACTAAAGACAACTCCCTTAAAACCATATGCCTCTTTCTAATGAGCTTCTTGTGAGTCAGGGTACCAAAGGCTTTGCTAAAGTGGGATTGTAACTCCTACATGTCGACTCCCTTGTGTAACCTATACACTATAATAAAGTAATGCTTTACTGGAGTGACTGAAGCAATAAAAGATTGGAGTGAAAATGTCGTAACTAAAACCCAGCATTGAATGTAATGAAACTACTCTTTCTGAGTAAGCCCCAGAAAGCAAGTCATTCTCACCGAGAAAACTCCCATCTACCAAGTCACATCAGCTGTAGTTTTGTTTGGCCTGCTTGGGACCAAATCCAGAACCTGACCCCACTCTTAGAGAGCAGATGATGCTGCCACCTCACTATGAATGCACCCAGAAAGTCAATCAACCAATACAGACTACTGTTGGGTTCCAAGAAACCGAAGCCTCAACTACAAACAAACTCCCTCAACAACATAGGCAAATGCTCAGATCTCTTTAAATTAGTGCAAGCTTGTTAGCACTAACCCAACCACTACTTGGAGGGGGCAAAGCACCAGAGCCTGTAGTACCAACCAGGGTATGAAGCAAGCTCTAGACCAAAGGCGCAAAGGAAACGCCCCAACCGATGACCTGGGTGGGAGGGGAGGAAATCGGGGAGTCACCTGGGCTCATTCAGAAAGATTTGTTCCATTACATTTAATGCTGAATTTCTCTGAGAAGCCTTTTGTCACACCCTGACACTAACTACCCATGGAAAAAGAAAAGAGGGACTCACCAGGTAGGAGGAGAAACCACAGACTGACAGGATAAAGACAAGACTCCATGCTAAGTGACACGACAAGGCCCGGGAACATAAACCAAATACATACCGGGCAACTAGAACTCTGTTAGAGCACCCAAGTCTTCCATGTACAAATATCAGTCCAGAACATGTTGGCAAACACTGCCAAGAGAGCAGCATACTTTCAAACATAATGGGGAATGAGGGATAGAGTGGAAACTTGCTAGACTTCATGTCATTCCAGACGACCTAGCAAAAACAAAGTTTGGAAGAGGGAATCATCAATGAAACCAGATCAACCCACAAAGCATTGACAGAGGTAGAATTGTGGCTAAAGGTAACGGCATAGAGCTGCCACCGGAAACAGCACATGATGCACCTAACCATTTAACCAATTATCAACCCCCAAGCGACTCCTCAGGGTCCCTTGGGGGTCAACTCATTCTTAGGAAAAAAAAAAATGGTTGCAGATGAACTTAACCAACAAGGCCAAATGAACAGAAACCACACCTCTGGAGAAGAGCATAAAGTTCCCCAACCTTACAATTTGAGGGAAGTGCCAACAGAGAAAGAGAAAAAAAAGTTAGAAAATGAACCCGACTGAGGGGGACACCATAATACAAGGAGAAAAAAAAAAAAAAAAGAATTCAGTCCAATGACCAAGCAAGTTCAGGCAGCAGTATAAACAGGCCAGGGGTGAATGAATGTGCATGAGAGCTTCTGAAACAGTGCTGAGGAAGTAGCGACGATGGATGCAAGCAGCAGCGACACACTGCCAGTGTCGAACTATATGAGGCAACAGTATTCAGCATGAATCTGATGAAGAAACAACCAACAAAGGAACTAAAGGACTACAAGAATGGAGACTGACGAGTTACAATGAAGGGAAAGGAAATGACGAAAAGAACACCAAGAAACCTCATACCGTTGCCGAGAAGGCAAACTAGTGGGACACAACCAGTTCAACCACCTGTTGACAGATCAGCACACTAGGAGGAAAATTTCATACCCAGATTCGAGTGACGCATTCAGTTTTGAATGATACTTTTGCTGTGTCTGTTGGCCGTTTAGGAGCTTCACTTTCATACTATGCAGTTGTCAGTACTCTCTTGTTTACTCTCTGGTTGCTTTCCTGGCAAGGGTGATCACAACAATCCCCTGCTCCCTGTGCCTTTTCAAGGGGTCAGGTTCTGCCTCTGGTCACTAGTAGGCCAATAGGATGCCTACTAGTGATCAGAGCCTGAAGATGGTGGTTTCCTGAAGATAGTTTCAGGAAGCCACCAAGGGGGGGGGGGATGGCCACTAGGTAAAACTCACATTGAATGTACTTGTAATTTAAAAAAGTCAGCTGAAGATGTATGACGATACTAAAAAAAAACCAATACCAGAACAAATCCTGGTCCCCACACACCTTGAAAGTTGATGAACACGGTCCATGTTGTGCTGCAAGGGCGTGAGCTGTGAGCGGAGACATGTCAAGGCATCCATAGCCTGCCCACCCTCAAGGAGCTCAAGATATTTTTGTTCCAGTAGTAAGAAACGCATCTCCTGAAAAACAAAGGAATTTTCTTTAAGAGAAATTAAAAAATTATCCTCAAAGTGTATCTGGGATATACCTACAAAATTCTTTTTGCCGTTTCTATCACACCTACATTTATACACAATGTGTTGGACATATTTTATGTACAGAATATTTATTTAATTCCATATTCTATTTAATTACTGTAAACTACTGGTTTTCTATTTAGTCACCAAGATGGTAGTGACACCAAATGAAGCATATATGCATGCATAAATTTTACACATACATATGAACAGTGTGTGTAATTACCTACAGTAAGTCACACCCGAGAGAGCCGGTCGGCCGAGCGGACAGCACGCTGGACTTGTGATCCTGTGGTCCTGGGTTCGATCCCAGGCGCCGGCGAGAAACAATGGGCAGAGTTTCTTTCACCCTATGCCCCTGTTACCTAGTAGTAAAATAGGTACCTGGGTGTTAGTCAGCTGTCACGGGCTGCTTCCTGGGGGTGGAGGCCTGGTCGAGGACCGGGCCGCGGGGACACTAAAGCCCCGAAATCATCTCAAGATAACCTCAAGAAGTGTAGTTACAGGATGAGAGCTACGCTCGTGGTGTTCCGTCTACCCAGCACTCTGTCATATAACGCTTTGAAACTACTGACAGTTTTGGCCTCCACCACCTTCTCACCTAACTTGTTCCAACCGTCTACCACTCTGCTTAAAAAAGTGAATTTTCATATATTCCTTCGGCAGCTTTGTTTCGTTAGTTTAAATCTATGACCTCTTGTTCTTGAAGTTCCGGGTCTCGAGAATTCTTCCCCATCAATTTTATCAATTCATGTTATTATTTGTACGTAGTGATCATATCACCTCTTTTTCTTCTGTCTTCTAGTTTTGGCATATTTAATGCCTCTATCCTCTCCTCGTAGCTCTTGCCCTTCAGTTCTGGGACCCACTTAGAAGCATATCTTTGCACCTTTTCCTGTTTGTTGATGTGCTTCTTAATTTAAGATGTGAGCACCACACAACTGCTGCATATTCTAGCTTTGGCCTAACAAAAGTCGTGAACAATTTCTTTAGTATTTTGCCATTCATGTATTTAAAAGCAATTCTGAAGTTAGAAAGCATGGCATAGGCTCCTTGCACAAGTTCTTTATGTGGTCCTCAGGAGATAGTTTTCTATCTAGAATCATCCCTAGATCTCTTTATTAGAATTCTTTAAGGATTTCTCACATAGACCCCACACAAAGGTTGTGTGGGGTCTATGTTCCCCTATTCCACATTCCAAAACATGGCATTTATTCACATTAAATTCCATTTGCCAAGTGGTGCTCCATATACTTATTTTGTCCAGGTCTTCTTGAAGGGCATGACCATCTAAGTTTCTTATCCTTCCTATTATCTTAGCATCATCAGCAAACATGTTCATATAATTCTGAACACCAACTGGTAGATCATTTATGTAGACAATGAACATCACCAGTGCAAGAACTGAACCCTGTGGTACTCCACATGTGACATTTCTACATTGCCTCTGATTACTGCTCTCATTTTTCTATCAGTCAGAAAATTTTTCAGCATTTTTCAAAACACACGTGTGTAATTACCTAAGCGTAGTTACAGGATGAGAGCTACGCTCGTGGTGTCCTGTCTCCCTAGCACTCTTTCATCATATAACACTTTGAAATTACTGACGGTTTTGGCCTCCACCACCTTCTCACCTAACTTGTTCCAACCGTCTACCACTCTTTTACAAAAGGTGACAGTTTTCTATCTAGAACCACCCCTAGATCCCTGTCTTTGTCAGAATTCTTTAAAGATTTCTCACATAATTTATAGGTTGTGTGGGGTCTATGTTCTCCTATTCCACATTCCATAACATGGCATTTATTCACATTAAATCTATTTGCCAAGTGGTGCAGTTCTAATAAGAACCGTCACCTGAGGATTACATAAATAACATCATGCAAGGAGAGTATGCTATGATTCCTAGCTTTAGAATAGCTATTAAATACACAGATGGTGAAAGATAAAACTGTTCACGACATTCATTAGACAAATTTTAAGAACAGCCCTATTCAAAGCCGGAGAAACTGTTGACCTGGAGAGCGTGCAAAAATCCTATACCGCTTGAACTCGCTCTAGCAAACATCTAAATTATTGGGACATTAAAAGTTCTAAATCTGTATTCTCTAGAGTGCAGGCAAGTGTTACATAATAATTTACATGTGGAAAACATTAGAGGGACTGGTTCCGAATCTGCATACACAAATGACATCACATGAAACCAAGAGGCATGTTAGGATGTGCAAAATACAGTGGTACCTCGGAATGCGATTGTCCCTGTATGCGAGGTTTTCGGAAGGCGAGGTTTATTTACTCCAAAAATTTGTCTCGGAAGGCGATGGTTACTTCGGGAGGCGAGTTTGGACGCGAGTTTGTTGATACGCGTACAGCCGACCTAGCGCGTGGTGGTTCGGCGATCGTCGCCCCTCCGCCCCTCAGTTTATTATTGTCTCGCGCTCAGTGACTACCCCCACATCAATTCTTCTCGCGGATTTTCAGTGTTTTGTTGGATTTTTGGTGATTTGTCTATACAATTTGTTATTATATATCTCACCATGGGTCCCAAGAAAGCCAGTGGTAAGGATAAAGGCCAGAAAGCTCATGTGAGGATGACAATAGAGGAGAAACAAGAGATCATTCGGAAGCATGAGAACGGTACACGTGTTGTTGAACTTTGTAGGCAGTACAACAAAGCCACATCAACAATATGCACTATACTTAAGAAGAAAAATAAGATTATGGGTGCTAAAGTGGCAAAAGGAGTAAGAACATTAACGGCACAAAGACCACAAATACTTGAAGAAGTGGAAAAGTTGTTATTAATTTGGATACACGACAAGGTATCTTCCAAACAGTAACTCCTCTCCTCCTCCCCCCTCCTCACCATCTTCCATACGCCTACAGCACTCGACAGCAAGGTAAGTAATAATTGGAACACAGTTTTGTAGGTTTATTTAGATGAATTAGGTATAAAAATTTAGTTTGATGTGGGGTTTTTGGGGTAGTCAGGAACGGATTAATTCATTTCCCTTTATTTCTTATGGGGAAATTAACTTCAGAATGCGAGTTTTCGGAAGGCGAGGCGTCTCCAGGAACGGATTAAACTCTTATTCTGAGGTATGCCTGTAGTCCCATTAAAATCCAGAGGTGCAATAGGTATGCTGAGAGAGAACTCTATCAACATCAAATTCCCAAGACTTTTCAGCACTCTCCCACTACACATAAGGGGCATAACTGGTGGGTCTCTCACGGTGTTCAAGAGAACTCAATAAAGACCTCAAAAGAATACCTTCAGGATCAACAAGGCTGTGAGCAGCTTTGCCCAACAGACTGGTTGACTAGACAACCATCCAGGTCTGGACAAAGACCGGGTCATAGGAACGTTGATTCATTCTTGGTGGTAGGTACCCACACCACCACCATGACTGACCATGCAATAAACAGTATTCTGAAAATGAAGAATTTAAATACAGCGAGTTCTCGCTGTATCCTTCAAAGTTAATACTAAGCAGAAAATAAATTAAAATTGTAAATGTGAATTAGCATACTAAATTACTTACTTTAAGGCTTGAGGGATCATCTAGCATTGTGCGCAACTCACTGAGAGCTGCTTCAGCTTTGGCCCATTCACCATCCATAACACAGTGACGAAACCTTGCTGCTGCTGGGTGGTCTAAGCGGCACCCAGATTCAGACATCAACAGCTCGGCACTCTTCCTGTAAAGTTAATCGATAATTATTACAATTTAAAAGATGGTAGTTGAACCTGGCTTTTGCCAATAAACCTTTATTTTACCAGGACAGTACAATTAAAAACATTATGAAATGCAAAATGACAGTATTTCCTTTATCGCAAAAACTGAAATCCAACCATGTACAAACCAGAAATTACAAATAATTAAACATCACAATAAATCAATCAATATCCACAATACTGTACCTTACTTCCTCCCGGCAGCCCAACATCCCCACCTTGCCCGGCGACTTCACCGGCCAGGCAAGAGGACGTATTCGTCACTTGTCACTAAACCAACATTGACTAGGAACCACCACAATGCTTATTAGTGTCGTGGGAGGGCGAGTCGTTATGCAATTAGTGTAAGCCATACTCAGCTGGTGTACCTGCTGTGTTGGTAGAGTTTCACAAGGACAGCTAGGAGGGATGAATAAGATAGATATGGAGTGGCTAAAGGACATCAACGTAACCTGCTCGATACCTGCTTGATTCGGTTCTGAGAGTTCTACTTCCATGTTAGAAGAGAGCTGTTCTACTTGACTTGTGGGTCCAACAGGCTGTTGCTTGGAGCGGCCCAAAGACCCACATATCCACCACAGCCCAGTGTGTTCGGCACTTATTGAAGAAAACTATATAGTTTTCTCAAGAAGAATGTCCACGGTTGTTCCCACAATATTTCTCATACAGTACTTCCTGGGGAGTATGTTGAACAACCATGAACCTTTGATATTTATACAGTGTTCTCCGAGCCTACGGCACCCCCAGCTCTTACAACCTTACAAAGAGCACTACATTTCGATCATATGCATTACACAAGACCAGTAATGAAATGTGCATGGCAAGAGTTGGAGAGGGAGAGATCTATTGTAATATGCAACCTACCAGAGCCTGAGGGGAACACATGGCAAATAAGGAGAGAGATAGAACAGAAAGAAAGAAATTTTACACAAAATTCAGGCCAGAGATGCAACAAGGAAACCAGAGCATCTCTGCAGACTAGGTAATATTCAGAGAGTAAAAAACCGACCAGTGAAACTTATTTTTATGACCAGAAACTCAGTTCAGTACAGTATATACTGATTTTAAAAGTATATACAGTGGAACCCCGAATAACGAATTTAATCCGTTCCGGCACAGTGGTCATCACGTGAAACTGACGTCATTCAAAACGAAGTTTCCCTTTGACAATACCTGTAATGGAAATTTAATTAATCCATTCTACCACCGACAAACATCAATATAATATTTGAAGTTTTAAATAATGGAGCAGCCTACCTTATATACATTGAACAAACCTTTATGACATTTTCTTTCTTCAAATTTGTTCATTATTTTTTTTTCATTTTTTTTTATAGCAAAAGATTCGTTTGGTGTTCAGCAGGTAGGCTGCTCCACGTTTCTTAAATAAAAAACAAACGAAAACAAAATGAAAAATGTTGAAAAATAGAACCAATGTCAAAACGGTTTGTTCGGTGTTCAGCAGGTAGGCTGCTCCATGTTTCTTAAATAAAAAAAAATGAAAAATAAAAAACAGTTGAAACAATTTGAAAAACGGACAAATGCCATAAAGGTTCATTCAGTGTTTGTCAGGTAGGCTGCTCCATTATGACAATTTTTGTTTCAAATGTGTTCCATTTATTTTGTATTTTTCATTTATGTCTCAATAATGGAGCAGCCTACCCGACAAACACTGAAACTGAAAGAACCTTTATGGCATTAGTTCGTTTTTCAAATTGTTTCAACTGTTTTTTTTGTTTCCTGTTTTTTTAATTTAAGAAACATAGAGCAGCCTACCTGCCAACCGAACGAACCTTTTGACATTTGTTCTGTTTTTCAAAAATTTTTATTTTTTTATTTTTGTTTTTTTTATTTAAGAAACATGGAGCAGCCTACCTGCCGAACATTGAACGAACTTTTTTTGACATTCGTTGTTTTTCAAAAAATTTAATTTCTTTTTTTCTACAAAATAAGTCAATGCTTTGCCACACACAGCAGTCACCACTTTATATCCCAGCATCATTTGCATCTTTAAACAAAAAAAATTGTTTGCATCGTCGGAGGCGTCCAAGAATGTGCGAGAAGCAGCACAACCCCACCATGTGGTGTTACGTTATTCAAACGAGCACTTGCCTAACGAGATGAATTGTCGGCGATCGGGACGCTCATTACCCAAATTGCTCGCACTTTGAGGCGGTTGTCACTCGAGGGTCTACTGTACCGTTATATGTAACTAATTAAAGTAAGTTAACAGTAACTAATTAACCCCTGCACTGCGCACCTGGTTTCAGCAAAAACTTCTTCAGGACATATTTTATTATATATTAAGGATATATATTATATATATTACATATATATTAAGGACATAAGTCAAGGACATATTTTTGTTGTTTTTATAAATATTCAGGTAAAGTTAATGTCAAAATGTTTCCAAACTTAACTATTTTCATTTAAAAACACAAAGAGTAATGAAAACATTAAAAAACATTGAAATATAGCCTAATTAAAAAAAATTAGCACAACTCTCAGAGTGCCTAAAGGCGCTTTACGCAGTGCAGTGGTTAAACTGTATATACAGTTTAAGGAGCCAGGAATAAAAAAATATTCAAATTATGTGAAAATTACTAATAAATGTTAAACAAATCTTCAACTTATTGACTTCAGCGTCGTGAAAGTCATCAAAATATTTTCAGAAATAGAATTTAGACAATTTTTTTTAAAAAGAAGAATGTTTTGTAGATAAGGAGAACAGCTCCTATTAACTGGAACCGATTAATAATGCAGTAATAAAGAGATGCATGGACTTGTCCAACCCACAAAGAAGAAGAATAGTAGTAAGAAATGTCCACAAAGTGGATATGCAGCTGGTGCCTTTATAGCATTGCTGAGTAATACTTAATAACAAATAATAATGATTATATATGTTATTATGCTCTATTTTGTTATATATCATATACTGTAAATACATTGTCCAATGTTAATATCTGTTACTTTCACCAATGTCCATAAATATTTTTTTAGGGGAGATTCTTTTTCTCCTTTGCTTATTATCTGATTTTGTTGTAATCTTTCCATCTTGTGGAGTGCATACCTGTCCTTAACTATGTAAAGATAGAATGTAATTGGTCAACAAATAAATCAGCTGCTACTGGCGGAACTTAGGACTTTGAATTTTTAGGGGGTGATTTTTTCACAGATTTCAAACTACAGTATTTTCTTTGTCTCTTTAGGTTGTTTTGATGATTAGAGACCAGATTAGGGCTTTTTCACTTATATAAAGTATACATATATATCCCCTAAATCATTATAATTATCCCTATATTTTGTTTTTTGGGGGTTATTTTTTCTTTACTTCATTTCAACACAGTGACATTCAACTTTCACATATTCGAGTACGAATGCCAAACAGTGTTTATTAAAGCATATAAGTAAATTAATGAATTAGAACTACCTTATTCATTGTCGACCAAACCACATACAGTACTAGAAAGTGAAGGGACGACGACGTTTCGGTTGTCGTTCAACCTATGTTTCAAGTCACAATCGACTTGAGAATGGTCCAGGACGGACCGAAACATCGTCGTCCCTTCACTTGTAAAGGTGCAAAGACATGCTACTAAGTGGCTCCCAGAACTGAAGGGCAAGAGCTACGAAGAGAGGTTAGAGGCATTAAATATGCTAAAACTGGAAGACAGAAGAAAAAGAGGCGATATGATCACTACATACAAAATAGTTACAGGAATTGATAAAATCGATAGGGAAGATTTCCTGAGACCTGGAACTTTAAGAACAAGAAGTCATAGATATAAACTAGCTAAACACAGATGCCGAAGAAATATAAAAAAATTCACTTTCGCAAACAGAGTGGTAGACGGTTGGAACAAGTTAGGCGAGAAGGTGGTGCAGGCCAAGACCGTCAGTAGTTTCAAAGCGTTATATGACAAAGAGTGCTGTGCTGGGAAGACGGGACACCACGAGCGTAGCTCTCATCCTGTAACTACACTTAGGTAATTACACAATTACACTTAGGTAATTAATTACTTTCTAGTGTGTGGTTTGGTCGACATACTTCAGCTACGTTATTGCGACTCCTTGTCTGCTTATTAATTGTCGATAACTTCAACTTCAATTATCTCTAATTTTAGAGTTTCAAATTTGTCAGCATTAAAAATACAGTTTACAATCGATACTCACCATTTTAACATATAATGGTCACAGCAGTGTTCTACAATCCTATTAGATTGTTTTTCAGAAACCTTAAATGTTGGGAGTTGTAAATTTTTTGGTCAAACTTTGGTGTATATTTTAAATGTCATATTGAAATTTTTTTTTTTTCCTGTAAACTATACTGAATCCTATAATAATAACTAATAAAAATGAAGATCATATGCTCTTCTGATAGCATAATACTGTAACACCAAATGAACAATTTGTGATATTTAATATTTTTTATGCTCATTTGAAAATCTGAAACTTTCAATACATATTTATATAATTATTTTTCATTTTCTTGTTTTTCAAGTTACGTTGGTGATTATTTAGACAAAGTTGGAGCACGTGCCTAGTAGATTATGTACAAAAAATTTGAAAGCGTTTGAGCAAGGTGCAAAATTTCACTTCCCGGCCCCTTAATGTAACATTAAACGAAGTGCCAAAGTGTGTTTGTGCAAAACGAAATCTTCAGAGAACCAAACACAATAAGAATTCCAGAGAACAACACAGAACACAGAGGTGTGTAAAGACAAAGTGGAAAAAATGCTCAAGGAACTAAGTACTGTAAGAGTAAAGCAGATGGCTCGGATGGAGTTTCACCATGGGTTCTGAGAGAATGAGCACGTGAGCTCAGCATTCCACTTCAACTGATTTTTCAGGCATCCCTATGTACAGGATATACTGTAGTTCCAATCTACAAAAATGGTAGCATGGAAGACCCCCCCTCAATTATAGAAATGCATCATTGACAAGTGTAATAGTCAAAATATTG